TCACACAAATCAGCCTTCATTAGGTGGCTACTATGTGCAGAGCATCTTTTCATGTGCTCATTAGTATGTGGAAATATTTATCATCACCTCTTTTTAACAGATAAAGAAACAGGAGCTCAGAGAGGGACAGCCACTTCCTAAAAGCCACACAGCCTGGGGGGGGGGCGAGTGTATGTGGGATGAGAACCAGTCTGACTTTTACCTGCTAGCCACTCAAAATGACACTACCCTGAGAATCTGTGTGCAAATCTTTGTATGCATATATGTTTTCATTTCTGTTGGGTAAACACCTGGGAATGAAATGGCTAGATCTGATGGTAGGTATATGTTTAAACTTTTGAAAACCTGCCATACGGTTTCCCACAGTGACTGTACTGTTTTGTATCCCACCAGCTGGGCATGAGGGTTCCCGTTGCCCCCTATTCTAGTCAGCACTTAGTAAGCTCAGACTTTCTTGTGTAGCCATTGTGGTTTAACCGTATCTCACTGTGCTTTTATAGTTTGTATTTTCCTAAGTGCTTCTTGGCCATCTATATGTTCTTTTTTGGTAAAGAGTAAAAGCTAATAGCTATTGGGCGCTGAGAACAAACCCATGACCCAGACAGACCCAGACCCCCTCAGTCTTTTTGGATCATACCATCTTTGAAAAACTCATATTAAAAGGAAATAAGTGAATATCCTCTATGATTGCAGGTTGGGGACAGTGCTGGGGGCATAAAGCAGGATCAGGGTGTGAGTCCCCTTTCCAATTCCTCTGGTGCTGTGTCCATGTGGTATTGACAATTTTCTTTACAGCGGCAGGTGGTGAGAGCCCTGTTTTCGGCCGTGAGGCCTGGAGAAGGGTGGGAACTTGAGTGCTGTGGAATCTGTCACCTGTTTCGAGGGCTGTCACTTTGACCTCAGGTGCCCCTCTGCCCTGCCTGCTTCCAACCCTGGGCCCCACTCAACCTTTGCTCTCAGCTGCATGCCAGGAAACAGCCTTGCTACCAGGCGCATGGACCCCCTCATAAAATCAAACTCCTGAAGGCATGGAGGCCAACGTCCTTGGGAGAAGGCGAGAAGGCCCAGGGAGCCAGGAAGGCAGGCCTTCCAGACATCAAGGTGTGGCAGTGATGGACTTTGTCTTTCTGGTCCTCCGGGTGGGGAAGACATAGTCAGCATTTAGCAACTGGCTGGGCCCTGGGGCTAGTTCACCATCTCTTGGTGGGCCTCAATTTCTCCGTCTTCCTCACTAGGGGCCTCTCTAGCACCTGCCCAGCTCCTGGCACATAGTAGGCACTTAGTGAATGAATGAGAATGATTTAAGACACCCCTGCTGATCTGTTCCCCACTGCACCCCTCACTTCTTCCTCCAAATGCCCAGGTCAGAGATGCCAGGAGAGGTTGTCACAGGTGACATTTAATAAATACTTGGGGGAATGTGTGAACCCACCAACTCTTCTCCCATCTCATTTGTTTCTCTGCTCTCAACTTCAGTCTCAACCCTACCCGTCCCTGTTTCAGCATTTAAGCATTTATTAAGTACCTACTATGTACTTTACAAGTACCACCCCCAGGAACATTTCTTTTTTTACAGCTTTATTAAGGTTTAGTTGACATGCAACAAAGTGCACGTTTAAAATGTACAATTTGATGAGCTTTGTTACACCTACTCCTGTGCAAACTCGGGCACAATCAAGATAGTGAACTATCATTTCTATCACCCCAAAAAGTTTCCTTTATCCCTCCCCACAGCCATTTTCATCCCCAGGCAACCAGCAATCTACTTTCAGTCACTATATTTTTCTATAGCCGGCATCATACGAGTACAGTACAACCTTTTGGTGGCTGGCTTCTTTCACTCAGCATAAGGCATTTAAGGTTCATTTATGTTGTTGTGTGCTTTTACTTTTCATGGCTGAATAATATTACACTGTCTGGGTGGACCACAGTTTGTTTAATCCACTGACCTGTTGGTGGACATTTATTTGGGTTGCTTCCAATTTGGGGGTGTTAACAATGAAAGCTGCTATGAACATTTGTGTGTATAAGTCTTGCGTAAACATGTGCTTTTATTTCTCTTGGGTGCATGTATTAGCTATTAATTTCTGTGCAACAGATCACCCCAAACTTGGTGCCTTAAAACAGTAAACGTTCATTATCTCTCACAGTTTCTGAGGGTCAGGAATTTGGGAGTGACTTAGCTGGATTTTTCTGGTTTAGGGTCTCTCAGGAGTTTGCAATCAAGCTGCCAGCTGGGGCTGCCTCATCTGAAGCCTCTACGGGGTGGGGGGTGGGGGGAGCTGGAGGAGTCCCTTCCAGGACGGCTCCCTGATATAGCTGCTGGTGGGAGGCCTCAGTTCTACTCCACATGGCTGTCCAGGAGGGTAGTCTAGACTTCTGTAAAGATCACTATTAGAGTGAGCTAAGGGAGCCTAAGACAGAAGCCAAAGACATTTCATAACCTAATCTCTGAAGTCACATCTGCCATATCCTATTTGTTCAAAGTGTAACACTAAATTCAACCCACATCCTAGATGGGGTGAATTACACAGGTCATGAATACCAGGCAGCAGGGCTCACTGGGGGCCATCCTAGAGGTTATTTACCACGTCCCCTAGTATTTCAATAATTAAGCAAACATTAAGTTTCTACTGTTAACTTCACAAGAACTATCTCCTTGGATATTTACAACAGTTCTCCAATAAAAAACTAATATTATGCCTACTTTACAGATGAGGAAACAGGCCCAGAGAAGTTAGTTAAGTTGCCCGTCTACTGTCGATACCAGAGTAAGCAGCAAAAACAAGATTTGACCCTGAGCTTTAAGACCTGTGTCAGAAAGAGGCCAATGACAACAAAGAGCAGGAACAGAGATGGGAAGAAAGGAAGAAGGTGCAATTATTATTATTATTATTATTCCAGAGAAAGAAAAGCACCCAGGAAAGCTGGGTTCCTTCATTCATTTTGCAAACATTTATCGAGCACCTACTGTATGCCAGGTGCTGTTTCAGACCCTGGAGATGCCACAGATGGACAAAGTTCCCTGCATACATAGAACTCACACACATGAGTGACCGATTCCACTATCCAGTCTAGCACCTGGTACACAGGAGTGATGGTGGAGGAGGGGAGAGGCCCAAGGCTCTGTGCTGGACGTGGGGGCCCCATGGTAACCAGGACACACACGGTCACTGCCGACCTGGAACTCACAGTCTGGTGGAGGTTATAGATAGCAAACCATGTTTGCAAACAACAAACAACTCATCCTTCTTTCCTTCAATATTTATTGAGCACCTACAATGTATCTGGCTGGGTTCTAGATACAGCAGTGATTGAGACAGACACAGACAGCCTATATTATGGAAGGGAGATAAGAGAGTAAAGAGATAAGTAAAAAAGATTATTTCGGGCTATGAAAGGGGTAGCTAGGGGGAAATCCAACAGGGTAGTGACTGGGATGGGGGTGGCATTAGGAAGGCCTGTCTGACTGCCTCCCCTGGAGGAGGTGATGTTTGAGTCAAGGCCTGCCTGAGTGACATTTTTGTTTCCTTGGTTGTAGGTTCTTTGTTCAAGTGAAGCTTTCCTCTACTCGCGCGGTGTGTGTGTGGGGGACACCCCAGGAGCCTCCTACCCTGGCTGAGGTGGGGATGGAAGCCCCCAAGGTGAGAGTTTCAGGGAGCTAATCTCCCTACCTCTCAATCAACTAACAAATGGAGACTTTGACCCTCCCCTCACCCCTTATCTCAAGACAGGAGAGTATAGCGTGTCAAGGTGCAGCTTGGAAGGTGTGTGAAGGGACCTGGTCAGGGTCAGGTCAGGGGAGGATGTGGGGGGTCCAGCCAAGTCAGGGCTGAGGTGCCATAGTCTGGGAACTGTGGTTAATGGCACCTTGGTTTCCTCGGCTGTCAAATGGATTTCCAGCACTAGGGACACATCAGGCTTTTATTTTGTTCCCATCATTCAGAATGCATTGATTACCTCCTGTGTATTTGGGCCTGGTTCTAGGTCTCTTTTAGTAAGAAGCCAGACAGTAAATATTTTAAGGCTCTCCCAACTACTCAAGTCTGTGGGTGTAAGGTGAAAGTTGGCAAACTCTATACGTAAATGCACTGAAGGGGCTACATCCCAAGAATATCAACTGGGTAGTAGGGTTGGTTTAAAAGGCTTAAAACAGTGCTTGGTATACAGTAGGCACTTCATTAATATATTTACTGCCTGGAATATAGCAGGCATTGCATTAATGCCTGGTTTACAGTAGGTACTCCATAATGTTTTTGTCCTGTCTGGTATATATTAGACCTTACATTAAAGTATGATCTGTGCCGAGTTCAATAGCAGGTGCTACTCTCATGCCTGGCCCACACCTGGTATACAGCAGGTGCTGCATTAATGCTTGGTCCATGCCTGGTATATAGTAGGAACTCCATTGAAGCTTGCTGCATACGTGGCATATAGCAGGCGCTGCATTAATGTAGGGGGGCCCAACTGAGTCCAGTATACAGAAGCGTTCCATTAATGCTTGTTCCAAGAACAGATGAGTGGAAGGTTCTTTCCGGTTAGGCAATGCCAGGGTGCTTCCCGGGAGACCGTGAAGGCTAGGACCCCAGTGTCCAACATTGGGCCGGGGTCTCCCAGCCTCGCGACCACACATTGGCGGAGTCCTTGGCTCCCAGCGGAGCGGTGCCGAGCGGGGTCGAGCAGGGCCGAGCGCGCTGAGCCAGCCGGCCGAGTCCGCCACATTCCCACAATCCCGGGCGGTCCTGCCCGGTTCCCAGCTGCGCGTCCCCCTTCCCACGTCGGCGCAACCTAACCCGAGGGCGCGCCC